CTGGTTAGGCCTCAGCTGGAGTACTGCGTCCAGTTCTGGGCACATTACCTCAGGAAGGACATGAAGGCACTGGAAAGGGTGCAGAGGAGATTCCAGGAATGGGGAACCTTAGCTATGAGGACAGTGGAGAAGTTAGGACTTTTCCCATTAGAGCAGAGAAGGTTACGCGGGGACCTGATAGAGGTCTTCAAGATCATGAAAGGTTTCGACAGGCGAGATAGGGAAAAGCTGTTTCCGCTGGTAGGTGTGTCTGTGACTCGTAGTCACAGTCTTAAGATATCTACCAAAAGAAGCAGAGGGGAGGTTAGGGTTAGAAGAAATTTTTTCACTCAGCGAGTTGTTAGAATTTGGAATGATCCGCCCGAAAGCGCAGTGAAGTCCGATTCAATATCAGCTTTTAAGAGAGAACTGGCTAGGTATCTGGAGAGGACGGGTTTGCAGGGTTATGGGGAGAAAGCTGGTGATTGGAAAGTGACTTGCTCTGTCAAAAAGCTGGTGAGTGGGGTTAATAAAAGTCAGTTGCTCTGTCAAAGAGACAGCACAGACTCGATGGGCCAAATGGCCTCCTTCTATGCCGTAACATTCTATGATTCTATGATAAGTAACCATCCTACTTTAATGGCAAAAATTCTCTAATAGATTAGGGGTGATGAGCAAGTTAATTGGCTTCTGAAATATAACTGCGTATCTAGATTTCTTGGTATGTCAGCAGTTCCAGTCAGCCTCTCAGGGCAATCAAAGGATTGTGGAGATGCTTGACAGTTCTTCATAGACACGCAAATATGAACCAATTCCCTGAACATGTCGGTATAGCAGTAATTCGGCGTGGAGGGTGCTATATAAATCCAAGTTGCTGTTGTAATTCAAGGTTATTACTGCTCTTCAGAGGAGAACTTGTTCAAACTTTAACAGAAAGAGTTAGAGACATGATTTCAACCATCAAGTAGTTTTATAGTACAGCAGGAGGCATTCCAGCCCAGCTTAGTGAGCCAGTTAAACTCTAAGAGTTAAATGTTAGTTTCATTACCTTATTTTTGGCTTTAAGTCCTGAAATAGAACTTGTGATTCAAGAATTGACCACAAAGTTGCGCTGTTTTGTATCCCATCTAAACTCTGTGGTTGGAGAGTGTGCGCCAGATTACACACCCAGTATTGGCTGATGATGAATTCCTTCTGTAAAAGGCTTGTCCTTTGGTGACAAAGTGCTTATGTTTGCAGCGATATGTTACACATAAGCTAATTGGCTGATCTAGTTCGACTACGTTCAGTCTGTGTGTTGAACTGAAAATGTTTCCCTTTTGAGCCATGTATATTTTAAATTTGATGGTTAGATTCTGCCTGTTTCGTGTTCCCCTTTCGTTGGCCCTGCACTAACCGACCTTGAGAGGAGCAGAACAGGTCCCAGACTTCAATTGGCTGCTCGCAAGAACTATTCTGAGGGTAACTACCCTTCAGATTGATTGTTCACAGTACTGTACTCTTGCCCTCCACACACAGATGTTGTGATCAAAAAAAAATATTGAAGGTGGGTAAATTCAATAAATTGAATAAATTCAGAACAAATCTGTGTAAACACTACTTCAGTGAGCGAGTAGTAAACTTATGGAACAGGCTCCCTAGGGAGGCAGTGGAAGCAGAAAATGTTTCAAGAACAAATTAGATCGATTTCTGCTAAAAAAAATCTCAGGATAATACAGTATATAGTTTGGGACACAACATGTCATGCTAGGATGGTGAAAGGCGAACTTTTGTCTTCTTTTGCCAGCAAATTCTTGTGTTGGTGCTACAAAGCAATTTGGTTTCACTCTGCTGATACAGTGTTTTATAAGAAATTCCTACGTTACAACTATTTGGAATCTTATTTCCATAAGATTCTGGGAACTTTGGATTTTTATGGCAGGAAAATCCAACCAGCAGTTTTAAAACCCAAAAAAGATTTAATGTCTAAGACAGAAAGATTTTTCGTTCCATTGATTGCTTGCTTCCAGTCAATTTATTTCAGATCTAAAATAATTCTTAGGAGTAAATTCCATGGATTTCAACCCTCAAACACACGTAAATAATAATAATAATAATCCCTCAAAAAAATCAATAATAAATTGGTCATTTTCAATCCACGACGGTTTGTGGGACATTGGCTGCCGCGTTCGCCCACAAATACACAGTCAATTCACTTTACAGTATATTCTGCGAAGCGCTTTGGGACGTCGAGAAGATGTGAAAAGCGCTATATCAAATGCAAGGATTATTATTATTATTATTAAATACACACTGGGAAGAATGTGCTCCTAAGGCCTCCCGTCTCAGCCCATCAGCTGTTAATGGGAAGATCCTGAGACCTGCTCTGTAATTAGACCCAAAATGAAGCCAGTCCCTCTCTTTCCCTCCCAACCCCTCAGATCCTCCTGGCTAGTTTCTGAGATGTTCCTGAGAAGCAGATTTCATAGTAAATGGTATGGTAAATGTGTTCCCATTGGATCCTATTATAGGGACATAGGAACAGGAGGAGACCGTTCAGCCCCTCGAGTCTGTTTCACCATTCTATAAGATCATGGCTGATCTGTACCTCAACTCCAATTACCCGCCTTGTCCCATATCCCTTAATACCCTGGGGTGGAATCCATCAGGTTCTGGAGATTTGTCTATCTTTAGTTTCTCCATTTTTTTATTTATATTAAATCCATGTAGTTCTTCTCTTTGGCTTATTTCAAAGTTCCCTTGTTCCCTTTGTCCTCTTCCTCGACAGTGAAAAAGGAAGCAAAGTATCCATTCAACAAGTTTGCCATTTCCTTATTGTTCATTATAGTCTCACCCACATCTGTTTTTAATGGGCCCTCATTCCCCTTTACCATTCTCTTTCTCTTAATATATTTATAAAAACTTTGATATCCCTTGCAAGTTCTTTCTCATATTCCCTTTTTGCTGACCATGGTTGTTGGACACAGGTGGAGCTTTTGTGTTTTATGGGGTTTGTACTGGTTTTATATTGTACCAAATATTTGCATACATATGACTATGGTTTCACCCAGATTACTGTAATTAATTTCTCATCCCTTCAAAGTTTGCCTTATTTAAATTTTAAATCTTGGTTTGCGACTCCCTTCTCCCTCTCAAACTTATATTAAATTCAATCATATTATGGTCACTATTTGCAAGATGTTCCTTTACCATCAGATTGTTAATTCATTCTGGTTCGTTACTCATCACTAATATGGCATGCTCCCTTGTCGGTTCTAAATATTGTTCCAGTAAACTGTCCTGAATACAATACATTCCAATCAGGAATCCGTCTTCACCAGGAACAAATGGGAATATTTCTCACTGAATGAGCTATTGTAAAATTGTTTTGTTGAAAACTGTAATGTGGAAACACTTTATCAGATCCTAGAACTGAGAGGTTACACCTATCAAGAAAGGCTGAACATACTCAGACTCTACTCTTGAAAAGAGTTAGGGGTGACCTGATAGACGTTTTTAAAATGATGAAAGGTTTGATAGGGTCGACATAGGGAAGATGTTTCCGCTTGTGGGGGAAACCAAAACCAGGGCCATCAATATAAAATAGTCACAAATAGATCAAATAGGGAAGTTAGAAGAAATTTCTTCACACAGAGAGTAGTGGGAATGTGGAACATGCTGCCACAACAACAACAAAATTCCATTTACAGAGCGCCTTTCACGTCGGGAGGACGTCCCAAGGCGTTGTACAGTTGGGTCAGGACCTGAGCAGGGGGGAAATGGTCAGGGTGAGGGGAGGGAAGGGAGGGAGCGAGGAGGGGGGAAATGGTCAGGGTGAGGGGAGGGAAGGAGGGGGTAGAGAGTCGAGAGGGGAGCTGAAGGCTCGGTCAAAGAGAAAGGTCTTGAGACCGGCCTTGAAGGAAGAAAGGGAGGAGGCGGCGAAGGCACTGGGGGATAGAGTTCCAGAGCCTTGGGGCTGAGAGGCTGAAGGCCACCGATGGTAGGGCGGTTGGGGCGGGAGATGTGGAGCAGACCGGAGCCAGAGGAACGGAGGTTACGGGCAGGTAGGTAGGGGGATAGTAGGTCGGAGAGGTAGGAGGGAGCGAGGCCGTGAATGGCCTTATAGGTGAGGATGAGGATCTTGAATTCGATCCTCTGGGGGATGGGGAGCCAGTGGAGGCGAGCGAGGGTGAGGGTGAGGGCGAGGGCGAGGGCGAGGGTGGGAGTGATGTGGGCGCGGTGTCTGGTGCGGGACAGTACACGAGCTGCAGAGTTCTGAATGACCTGCAGTGTGGAGGGAGGTGGCGTGAAGGCCGCGAGGAGAGAGTTTCCATAGTCCAGCCTTGAGGTGATAAAGGTGTGGACCAGAGTTTCAGCCGCGTGAGGTAGTGCCGTAGTCTGCGATGTTCCAGAGGTGATGGAAGGCGGTGCCAGTTGTGGTGCGGATATGAGGGAGAAAGGACAGCTCAGGGTCGAGGGGAACCTCGAGGTTCCTGATGGCTTTGAGAGGTGGAGAGTGCGGCCTTGGATGCTGAAGCTGTCAGCGCCTGAGGTGCGGAGGCGCTGACGTGAGCCAATCAGGCTATTTGCCTCAACAGCTTCTTGTGCGTAAAACTGAGGTTTTACGCACAAGAAGCTGTTGAAGCAAATAGCAAGGATGTATTTAAGGGAAGCTGGATAGGTACATGAGGGAGAAAGGAATAGAAGGTTTTGCTTGAAGGCTTAGTTGAGGAAGAGCAGGAGGAGGCTCATGTGGAGCATAAACACCGGCATAAACCAGTTGGGCCATATGGCCAGTTTCTATGTGGTATATTCTAATGTACTTGGTTAAAGTGCTGCAGCTGTCAAAGTGAATTTGGGTTCTAAATAAACCGTTTTAAGAACTTTTAAGTTGTATTTCTGCACTAGACTGTATTACCTGTCACCGTGCCTAAATCAGATATTGGCTGAGAGATTGCTGCTGGCCACACTCTGTCTGCCATTGCTGCTTCGGGTCTGGCTTCTGTACTGGTTTTAAACACGCATTGTGGTATCTTTCTCAGGTGTACTGTTTCCTAAAGACTACCCGACGGGCTGCCTGCTGGGCTGTGTGGATCTGCTGGACTGCGTGTCTCAGGAGCAGTATCGGGAACAGGTAAGTGCAAAGGCACTTGTTTAACTGGGCTAACATTCCTCAACTGTAACGTTCTCTGCACTTCATTTTGCCATTGGGATACTCTATACCTATGTATACTTTGTAAAGATAAACTATTCATAACTTTCCAACAAACTCATTCTTGTTTCCCCTCAATGCTGTGCAAATGCTAAAGGCTTCTGTGTAGCTATGGCTTTTGTACTAAAATGGTTGAATTCAGGTCGCCGTGGCTTTGTGCTTTGCAAACAGGAAGTGGCATTGGCACTGACCCAATGACATGGGTCAGGGAAGCTGTTTGCTGCTGCAGAATGAGAACTGTTTTGCTCACTTTCCCTCTGAGCCGAGCTGCAGCTTCTGCAAAGGCTTCCGGTCAATCCTGAGCCAACTATGAAGAGACTCACGCTGAGTCTGGGCTTGGAATGCAATGACATTTTGCCTCAGTTTTGGGGGGAGAATTGGGAACTGTGTAATGAGCTTGTGTAATGGCAAGAAGTTTCAGAATTGAATTGAAAATAAACCTAGAGGCTTATTTTATTTATTATTTTGTGAGGTGTTCAAAATGATGAAGGTTTTTGATAGAGTAAAATGGAAACGGATGCCCCAAATGCCGCAGTATTGGATGAGAGGGCAGAGGAAATAGATCAGATTACTATAGACAGAGAGGAAGTTCTGAAAAGATTGACTGGGCTCAAAATTGATAAGTCACCGGGACCAGATGGGTTTCACCCAAGGTTGCTGTGGGAGATACGGGTTCAAATAGCGGAGGCTTTGGCCATTATATTTCAATCATCATTGGACACAGGAGTGGTGCCAAGAGACTGGAGAGTGGCTAATGTTACCCCACTCTACAAAAAGGGGCAGAAAGATAAGCCCGGAAATTACAGGCCAGTCAGCCTAACTTTGGTAATAGGAAAGCTACTGGAGACCATAATCCGGGACAAAATAAATCTCTATTTAGAGGAACACGAGGTAATTAGAGACAGCCAACATGGATTTGTTAAAGGCAAATCTTGCCTAATAAATATAATAGAATTTTTTGAAGAGGTGACTGCGAGGGTTGATGAGGGAAATGCGGTGGATGTTATTTACATGGATTTTAAAAAGGCTTTTGACACAGTACCGCATAAGAGGTTAATAAAAAANCTGGAGGCCCACGGTATTAAGGTAGCCGTTTGGATTAGGAACTGTCTGAGTGACAGAAAGCAGAGGGTGGTGGTTAATGGGTGTTTCTCGAAATGGAAGGAGTTGTGCAGCGGTGTCCCCCAGGGATCGGTATTGGGACCACTGCTCTTTCTAATATATATTAATGATCTGGACTGGGGCATAGGGAACACTATTTCCAAGTTTGCAGATGATACAAAGTTAGGGTTAGGGTAGTAAATAGTGAGGAGGACTGTAACCAACTGTAGGCAGACATACACAGAATGGTGGAATGGGCTGACATGTGGCAGATGGATTTCAATGTGGATAAGTGTGAGGTGATACACTTAGGTAGGAAAAATGATCGGAGGCAATATAGACTTTGTAGCTCAATCTTAAGGGGGGTGAACGTACAGAGAGATCTGGGTGTTCAAGTAAGCGAATCATTAAAGGTAGTGGGGCAGGTAGATAGGGCAGTAAAAAAGGCATCTGGTGTATTGAGCTTTATTAGTAGGGCATAGAGTATAAGAGTAGGGGTTATGGTTAATCTGTCCAAAACACTGGTTAGGCCTCAGCTGGAGTACTGGGTCCCGTTATAATAATAATCCTTGCATTTGATATAGCGCTTTTCACGTTGGGAGGACGTCCCGAAGCCTTCACAGAATATACTGTAAAGTGAACTGACTATATATTTGTGGGTGAAAGCGGCAGCCAATTGCGCACAGCAGCGTCCCACAAACAGTCGTAGATTGAAAATGACCAATTTATTATTTTTTTTGTTTTGGATGGATTATTCTAGGCACCTTACTTCAGGAAGGACACTGGAAAGGGTGCAGAGGAGATTCACAAGAATGATACCAGGAATGGGGAACCTTAGCTATGAGGACAGGATGGAAAAGTTAGGACTTTTCGCATTAGAGCAGAGAAGGTTACGCGGGGACCTGATAGAGGTCTTCAAGATCATGAAAGGTTTCGACAGGTGAGATAGGGAAAAGCTGTTTCCGCTGGTAGGTGTGTCTGTGACCCGTGGTAGATATCTACCAAAAGAAGCAGAGGGGAGGTAAGGGTTAGAAGAATTTTTTTCACTCAGTGAGTTGTTGGAATTTGGAATGATCTGCCTGAAAGGGCAGTGAAGTCCGATTCGATAACAGCGTTTAAGAGAGAACCGGATAGGTATCTGGGGAGGACAGGTTTGCAGGGTTACGGGGAGAAAGCTGGTGATTGGAAAGTCAGTTGCTCTGTCAAAGAGACGGCACAGACTCGATGGGCCGAATGGCCTCCTTCTGTGCCGTAACATTCTATGAATCTAAATCTATGAAAATAACTGTTTCCAGAGCCTGAGGGCATATAGTCTGAAGGCCTGACTGTCGATGGTGGGGCAGGCAAAGCAGGGGACATGAAGCATGTGTGTTGGTGGAGTTTATGCACACACCTCACACATGTGTATATAAACCCACCCATACTCACACATATGCACATGTGCACATAAGTGCATGAACACACATGAATGGATAATTCCCTCCTCCTACACCTCTTTCACTGAAAACAAACTAGACAGATAAAAATTCTGACCAGTTTGTTTTCAGGGAAAGGGGAGAGAAAATTTACAATATAATTTACCTTTCATGTCAGGAGGCTGTCTCAAAAAGTGCTTAAATCTGGGTGATCCCACCAGAGATAGATGGTTGGAATGGAATGCTCTCTCTCTCTCTCTCTCTCTCCCTGGAGGGACACATCCTGCTTATACCTAATTCCGGAAAGTATTAGGTGCAGGTTGGCAAGAACCAAGGCTTGGGGACCCCAGAGTGTGCGTTGGGGTAACTGCTGGAGTCTAACCAGCTAAACCCACACAGCTTGCCTTTGATATCGCTGTCTGGCAAACTTTCCCATAGCTTGTCCAGCTAGGACCACCCTACCTGTTAAGGCTTTGGCTGCAGGGTTAACAGGGGTTGAGTGGGAGGAGTCCCTTCCCCCAGTAACTGGTCGGCCCTCCAGGTCCTACTGATGGGCTGTGCTGACACCAGCAGTGCCCTGGAATACTGCGGACCCTCCCGGCTCAGGAACTGGACTGGATTCCGTCACAGAGGACTGGCTCAATCCCAGCATTCCATTGCCAGGCAAGTGACTTGGAGCCATTTCAACTCCGAGGAGAGACTGCTTCCCACAGGGAGAAAGGAACCCCCAGTGGTTCATGATGTGTAAGAATGGCAGTGGATTTGCTGTGGTTGAAGCTGAGTGCAGGAGCACTGTATGTTTAACCAGATTAAGTCATTCCATCCATGGCTGATTACAAGCCTTTCACCCAAGTATCCTTGATAGTGTTTTATCAATTAACACCAGGCATTGACTTTCACTAAATTCCTTTGTCAAATTGAGCACCATCCATTTGTTTTCTGTTTCCTCAATCCATATATGGGCATGCCCTTGTCACTGTAATGAGCTGAATTGTGGCATAAATCATTAATTGTGTTTTACAGATCGCGATTAAATGACTCGGGAACATCATAGCTGAGCCCAGTGCTGCCCCAGTACACACCACATGCACACAAACACACGCACACATCCTCATGCACACACACACACAGAAACACATGCACGTGTGCACATAAGTGCTTACACACACACCCTGTAGCAGGGATCACTTAGTCTCACTGCCTTGCCCTATCCCCACACCCCTTCAAGCCTCTATCTCTCATATACTCATCAACGCACCTCTTGAAACCCACAGTGGCCTCTGCCTCTCCCACCAGGGCATTCCTCACTCCCAACAACTGAGTGGAAAAAAAAATCCCCAAAGTTCTTCTTTGTAACTGTCTTATGGCCCTGAGTCACAAACTCCCCGACCAGTGGAAATAAATGCTCCCTATTTACTCTGTCAAAACCCCACATCATTTTGTACACCCCTATCAGATCCTTTCTCTACCTTCTCTGCTCCAAATAAAACACACCCAACTGGAGACTAGACAGGCTGGGATTGTTCTCCTTAGAGTAGAGAAGGTTGAGGGGAGATTTAATAGAAGTGTTCGGAATTATTAGGGGTTTTGATAGAGTAGACAGGGAGAAACTGTTTCCTCTGGCGGGTGGATCGGTAACCAGGGCACATAGATTTAATATAATTGGCAAAAGAACCAGAGGGGAGATGAGGAAAATGTGTTAACCCAGAGAGTTGTCACAGTCTGGAATGCGCTGCCTGAAAGAGTGGAAACAGATTCAATACCAACTTTCAAAAGGGAATTGGAGAGGAACTTGAAAAGGAATAATTTGCAAGGATTTGGGGAAAGAGCGGGGGAGTGGGGCTGATTGGGTCGCTCTTCCAACCAGCCGGCACAGGCGCGATGGGCCGAATGGCCTCCTTCTGTGCTGTAATCTATGATTCTAACTTCTCCAAATGCTCCTTATAATGAAAGCCCTACATCCCTCCCATTAATCTTGTAAATCTTCAATTCACATCTACAAGGACTTAATATGTTGCCTGAGTTAGCTGTCCAAAACTGAATGCAGTACTCCAGCTGCAGCCTAACCAATGATTTGTACAAACATAGCAAGCATTATTGATTCGCTTTTATTCTGTGCCCATGTATAAAACCCAGAGAATACACTAGTTCTTTCCACATGTGCTGCCATATTCAATATATACTCCCTTCCCTTGTTTCTTCTACTAACATGAATCATGTTACATTTCACTTCATTAAACTAGGGTTAGCCAGTTTTGTATGCCCAGTACGCCCACAAAGTGTGCCCACACAAACCAGGCAGAATCTTTATCATATAATTGGAATTATACTGTGTGTGTGTGTTTGGGAGGGAAAGGATGCAACCTTCATTGTGCAGGATGGGAGAGAGAACTATTCTCCACTTGA